CAGGTATATTCCTAGATATTTCAATTTGTGCTTGGCTATTGTGAAGGGTACCACCTTTTTGATCTCCTCTTCTGTGGTCTTATCCGATGTGTATAGCAGTCCGATAGACTTCTGTTTGTTGATCTTGTATCCTGCCACTCTGCCATATTCCTCTATTGTTTCTAGTACTCCCCTTGTAGGGCTTTTGGGATTTTTCATATATAAAACCATATCATCTTCAAATAACGAGTTTCACCTCTTCCTTCCCCAGGCAGTTACCTTTGATGTCTTTTCTTTGCCTTATGCTGTTAGCTAAAACCTCCAGTACATTGTTAAATAAGACGGGACTAGGGCCATCCTTGTCTGGTCCCCTTTTTCAGTGGGATTGTGTTGTCTTTTCTCTATTGACTTCCACGTTGGCTGTTGGTTGTTCATATATAGCTTGTATTGTCTTGAGGAATTTTCCTTCCATTCCTATCTTTGTGAGTGTCTAAAACAGAAATTGGTGTTGGATGTTGTCAGATGCTTTTTCTGCATCTATCAATATTATCATGTGGTTCTTCATGTCATGTGGCGAATTATCCTAATGGTCTTTCATATGTTGAGCCATCACTGCATCCCTGGTATGAATTCCACTTGGTCATGGTGAATTATTTGTTTTATATACTTTTGTATTCTATTGGCCAGTATTTTGTTAAGGATTTTTGCATTGATGTTCATTAAGGATATTGGTCCGTAGTTTTCTATTCTTGTGGGATCCCTGTCTGGTTTTGGTATCAGAGTTATACTAGCTTCTTAATAGGAGTTCAGGAGCTTGCCATCTTTTTCTCTGTTCTGGAAGAGTTTGCATACGATTGGTGTCAGTTTTTCCCTGAATGCTTGGTAAAATTATCCTGTGAAGCTATCTGGTCCAGGGGATTTTTTTGTTGGTAATAACCTCGATAACCTTGTGTATTTCTTCTACTGGTATGGGTTTGTTGAGATTCTTGATTTCCATTGAGGATAGCTTAGGGAGGGATTGTTTTTCCAAGAATTTGTCCATGTTTTCCAAGTTGTTGAATTCATTGGAGTACAGTCCTTTGTAATACTGTGTAATTATCCTTTTTATTTCATTAGGGTCTTTTTGTAATGTCCCCTCTTTCATCCCTCAGCCTTCCTATTGAAATTTGTTTCCTTCTTTCTTTGTTTAGTTTTGCAAGCATTCCGTCGATTCTGTTTATCTTTTCAAAGAATCAACTTTTAGCAGCATTAATTTTTCCATAGTTTTCTTATTTTCCTTCTCCTGTATCTCAGCCTGATTTTCATTATTTCTTTTATTTTGCTATTAGTAGGATTGTCCTGTTGACTCTACTCTAGTTGTAAATTTTGTGCCAGCATATCAATCATGAGTCTCTCTTCCTTTTTCAGGTGTGCATTATTGCTATGAAACTTCCTCTCATAACTGCTTTTGCTGTGTGCCATAAGTTTGGGTCCATCATGTTCTCATTCTCAGTGATTTCTAGAAATTTCCTAATTTCATATCTGATCTGGGGCAGTACACATTCCTTTTGCAATAGAGAGTTATTCATCCTCCAATTTTTTGCTCATTTTCTTCGTCTTCCTTTTGTTGGTTTCCAACCTTATGGCACAGTGGTCAGAGAGAGAGGTTTGTATGATATCAATGTGCTTAAATTTATATAGATTTGCCTTATGCCCCAGCATGTGGTCTATCTTCGAATATGTGCCATGTGGGCATGAAAAGAATGTGATTTTTAAAAACATTTGGATGAAGAGCTCTATAAATAACAGCCAGGTCAAATTGTCTAATTGTAGTGTTTAAATCTCTAACCTCCTTGTTGAGTTTCTTTCCCTGTGATCTATTTTTCTCAGAGCGCAGTGTATTGAAGTTACCTACTGTAAGTGTTGAGGCTGTGATTTAAAAAAAAATCTTTTGGAGTGTTTGGTTGACATATTCAGCGGGTCTCCCATTTGGGGAATATATGTTTACAATGCTTAGTGGTTCTTTGTCTACTGTTACCTTGAGTATTATATAGTGTCTCTCCTTAACTCTTTATGGTTTGCACTTTGAGGTCAATTTTATCTGAGATTAGGATTGCAACCCTGCTTTTTTGAATTGCTGTTTTCTTGGTATGCCTTTCTCCACCCTTGACTTGAGATGTGTCTCTTAGGCAGCAGATTGATGGGTTGTATTTTCTAAGCTAGCCTCAGTCTTTTAATGGCTGGGTTTAATCCATTTATACTCAGGGTAATAATCTCCAACTGTGTACTCTGTGATGTCATCTTATATCTTTGGTGTTGGATGTTTTTCTACCTCCCTATCTTATCCGTGTGTTATCCGTGTGTGTGTGTGAGATTCATTCTTGACTTCTTTCCTCCCTTGGACCAATGCTATCTTCAGGTCTGTTTTCTCTTTGTTGCCCTCTGGGTGGAGTTGTTCTATGTGGCGGTCTCTTATTTATGCTTCGTGAGTGCTTTTCTTCTGCCCATACTGGGTCAGCAAGGATCTTTTTTAAGGCTGGGTTTCTTCTGAAGTATTCTTTGAGTTTTTCCTTGTCTAGGAAGACTCTTATTTCTCTATCTATTTTGATAGATAATATTGCTGGGTTGGGTATTATTGAGTTTCTGTTATTTTCCTTCATTTTTGGGGGAATATGTTACTCCGCTCTTTCCCCTTCATAGTGGCCGCTGATAGGTCTGGTTTAACTATTATGTGCCTTGGTGACTTTTTCTTGGGGTCCAGTCTGGCTGGTGTTCTTTCAGCCTCCTGAATGGTTGCCTGGTTTTCATTCTTAAGCTGGGGAAGTTTTCCTCTAAGAATTCTCTCACTATTGTTGCAGATGACTTCCTTGTTTTGTCTTCCTCCAGTAATTCAATTATCCTGATGTTGTACCTTTTGATTGCATCAGACATAGCTCTTAGGTTTTCTTCAGCCTCCCTGATGATCTTATTAGATTTTTGTTACAATTTGTTAAAGTCTGCTTGGCTGTACTTTAGGTCAATGGTGTGGTTCTCTGCCTCCTCCAGTGGATTGGTGAAGTACATGAGTCTGCTACTGGCTTTTGTTATCTTATCCCTAAGCTCTTGTATTTCCCTTTGGTACATGGACTTTATCTCCTCTATAATTTCCATCATCTTCTGTATTGTTTCCTTCATATCCTGTATGGCTCCAAGCAGCATTCCGAAAATTTATTTCTGTGGCAGATCAATGTCTGCTTCTTCTATGCACATTGTTAGGTTCAGGACATCTTTTGGTAACGCCTTTTGCTTTTCCTGTTGTTTTTTTGTTGAGGTCATTGGGGTTTATTGCTGTTTGCGTTGCATTGTTTTAGTGGAGCCAGGTGCCATTTTTCAGGGAGTCAAAGAACACTGGCTTTCTCTGCGAGAACTACCTGTAGCTAATTTCCCTATGGAATTGTCCTACCACTTTATCCTCCTGTGCCCTCACTCTTTCCATAGTCAACCAGTATTCTGTTATTTGAAGGGAAAGTTGGATGATCCTCTCAGGGGATGCTGGTTGATTTGTTGTGGACCCATGAGGATGGTGCTATACTGGGTGATCTCACAAGAAGCCATGATGGTGTGGCCCACGGCAGCTTGGGGAGCTGCAGAGGGCTTGCGCGTGTGCCCATTGCAACAGGAGTACCACAGAAGGCTTGTGGTTTGCCCACTTTGGTGTAGACCACCACAAATGGTGGGCGGAATTGCCCTTGTCAGGTGGATCGCTGCAGAGGTTCGGCAGAGGTTCCCGCAGCAGTATGGAACATTAGTGAGTGTTGGCTGAGCTGCCTTAGGCCATGTCAGGCACTACGGCAGGTGAGAGGAAGTTCCCTCAGACACGTGGGCCTACAGAGGACGGATAGGAGCTTCACAAGCCACATAGACAGGGTTTCCCCAGCCACGTGTTAAGTACTGCAGAGTGCGGGTGGGCGGAATTTCCCTGGGAAGAAGTTGGGCAGGATATCCCCTGGTAGAGGGTGGGTGGGTTTTCCCCAGCCTGTAGTTATGGTGCAATGGGTGGAGCTCTTCCAGCTTGGTGGAGGGCAGGTGAAAATTCCCTAGGCTAAGGGGAGTGGCATGTGAGAGAAAAGGGAAGAGAAAATGAATAAAAAGGCAAAAAATGGGAGGATTGAGAATAAGAAGATTGTTACAAAAGTAACAGTATAGCTGAGCCCGAATCCCTGACTGGTGCCCTTTAGGGATTTAATCCCTGCCCCAAGGCGGCAGCAAGCGCCGCCTCCAAATGATCCCGGCTTCAGCGGAGACAGTGGTGGGTTTTTCCGGCCTCCACTGTGATAAGGCAAAAGCCTCCAACCCCTCAAAACCTAGTGGATCTGTGCTTACTTATCTTTATGATGCACCTCCTGTGACCCGGCTGTGTGGAACTTCCCTCTTAGTAACTCTCCTGGGCTGATTTCTGTCGAGTCCCTCTGTTATGTGTTACTCAGTCGTCGTCTTCCCGGAAGTCTTTAGTCTGTAGTCACTGTTTCTCTTTGGCTCTTGAGTACTTCTTTAGAAGGTAGACATTAATTGCCCTTTTGCCCGATGAGGAAAATGAAGGGCCCAGAAGGTTTGTAAGGCCACACAGCCTAAATATTTGGTGGCACTGGGATTTAATTTGTAGTTTTAACACTATATCATGTAGTCTCTCTAATAAAATATGGAGCCCTCGTGGTGTAATGGTTATGAGTTGGGTGGCTAACTGCAAGATTGGAAGTTTGACACCACCAGCCGCTTTGAGGGACAAAAATGAAGTTTTCTACTTCTTGGAAGGTTTTCGACAGTCTCGGAAACTCATGGGGGGCAATTATACCCTATCCATAGGGTCTGTATGAGCCAGTCTCGACTGGGTGTCGTTGAATTTTTGAGCTCTAATGAAGTATAGGAGACTGACGAACTTGGGAACTCATTTTCACTTGCCAAAAGAGTTTGATGCATATGTTGAAATCAAGAGTCCAAGAAAAACAATGATGTTCTAACTTTTCAGTAGTTTTACAAAATAACAAGTAGGGTTAATTCTCTAGATTGAGGAAAAAAAACAAAGAGAGGAAGCAGAGCGTGAAAGACTGAGAATCGCAGATGAAAAAGAAGAGAAACGGCTTGCAGAACAGAGGGCTCGAATTCAGCAAGAGTACGAAGAGGAACAGGAGAAGAAGAGAGAGAAAGAGGAGGAGGTGCGTTTGCTTTGCTCTAGTTTACCTCTTAGTCTGAAAGTGAAGTCTTGATTTTACGTATTGTTCATTCAGGAGAACACTCTTAGAATACATTTAGGTAATACCACTTATTTGTTCATTAATTAAAAATTTAGTAAGGTGAAAGACTCCTAAGAAGAGAAATAAATGATTTATTTACAGTAAAAGGATGGTTTCTGGCTAAGGTTGTTATAAGAAATGTTTAGTATTGTTTTATTAAGCAGATAATTTTTTTTACACACACACAAACACACAACTGAGAGTCTCAAAAAAGTTGTAGAAAAATTTCATTATCGTTTAATTCCATTTTGCCACAAACTTCTTGAATTCCATCTCTCTTTCTAAGTGGACTGTAGAATGTATGTAGGAGTGAATGTTTTCTGCGTTATTTTGTTATCTTTGCTTTGTCTTTAGCAAAGGCTAAAAAATGAAGAGCTAATTCGGTTAGCTGAAGAAAGACGAAAAGAAGCCGAGAGAAAAAGGAAAGAAGAAGAGGAGCAGCATAACCTGCAGCTTCAGCACTACTATGAAAGGGAAAATAAGATTGGGGAAGAAACGAAGGTAAGTGTCCCGTCAAGATTTCAAGCAAACCCATTTCCGTACCTCGCTCACTGTCAGAGCCTTACTTACGGAGGTGATAGTGACACAGTGGAGGATGTTCTTTTGTTTTTCCTATTTGACTATACTGCTTAGTCTGGGGGGGAGCCTGGTGGCATAGTGGTTATGAGTTGGGCTGCTAACCACAAGGTCAGCAGGTTGAAACTCCCGGCAGCTCCAAGGGAGAAAGACGGGGTTTTCTATTCCCATAAGGAGTTGCAGTCGACTTCCAAGATGGCACCTCCAGGAGCTGAGAGTGGGTGACCAGCGGTGGGGAAGCATCCTGGGTTGGCCCTCCGGTTGCGGGTCCAGGGGCATCTCTCTGGGAGCCCCCCTCTGGCCCGCCTACAACACCTTCCCCAGGCCAGAGCAGTGGCCTCTGAGAACAGCAAGCACATTTGGAAGAGGATCACCAAGCTGCTGGGGAGCGTCCAACCTGTATATGGAGCACAGCACCCTCCCCTGACCCTCGGCTCACTAAACACTTCCTTAAGGAACGGTAAACGTCAACGCGGTTCCTCTGAAGAATAAGAAGGCCTCCAGCTTTCGTGAGTTTGCCCGGAGTACCAGCGGTGCTTGGGACATTGGCCATGATGAGGAAGAGGACTTTGCCTCCCCTCCTTTCCAATCTTTGAATCAAAGGTTGCTCAGATTACGTATGTACAGATTGTGATGAGTTGTATGAGTCCCTAATAAAATGATTATTTAATTAAAAAAAAAAGTTGCAGTCTGGGAAACCCACAGGGGTAATTCTACCCTGCTCTTCGGTGTGGTCGCTGTGAGTCACCATCAACTCAATAACAGCGAGTGCTCTTGCTATGGAGACTGTCAGGGTGCGACGTCATGTGCGTTGATGACACTGTGTCTTCGGGTTCTCTAGAGAATCAAGCAGAGATGAATCAGGAGAGGGAGAGCGGCAGAGATCCTGATTGACCAAGTGATAGATTGATTTGTAAGGGATTGGCTCAAGCAATTGTAGGAGGCTGTCAAATCCCAAATCCATAGCTCGGACAATTGCCTGGAAAGTCTTAGTATGTTTATCATGTGATTTGGTACACTGGTCAGTATTTACATCTGCTGTCCGTAGCACAAGCCATTTTCTCATTAACTCGAAGTACACGATTTGATTTCTTTCTTCAGGGTTTTATTGTTGCAGAAATGATAAGTGTTCTCAATTAAAATGTTTGCCTCACTGTTTAAAAGAGTATATTTGTAAGTGAAATTGATCTATAGTTTTAGATCAATTTTACAGGATATGAAGTTTGATAGATATTTATTCAGTCTTTTAAAGTATATTATTCAAATTGCACATAATTCTTAAAAATTTCCTCACAAAAATGAAAGGGAATTGGTAGTTTCCCATAATTGTGTTCCCGACAATTGAAATAATGCTATTACTCAGGAGCCGTCTGTTTTAATTTAATTACAAAATACTACATGGCACAGTAGCTCTACATTGGACTGTGCTCTGTAAGATCAGCAGCTTGAAACGACCAGCCGCTACCAGGGAGAAAGATGAGGCTTCCTATTCCTGTAAAGAATTACGGCCTTGGACACTGCCCCGTCCTACCCGGCCCTATAAGTTCACCATGAGTTTGAATCAATTCAGTGGCATTGAGTTTGGGTTTTTGGTTTATTTATTTAAATCTGCCAGAGGGAACCCTGATGGAATAGTGGTTAAACAGTTGGCTACTGACCAAGTGATTGGTGGTTCAAACCACCGTGGAAACCCTTTGATGCAATTCTACTCTTCCCTGTAGGGCTTTATGAGTCAGATCGACTTGATGGCAAGCGGTATGGTAGCTCTCTTTGTTCCGTTGCATGCTTTTTTCCTTGAATTCTGAAATTAAGGTTGCTATCTCTCACCCCCACCCCCTGCTATATAGTTTTGTCTACCCTTTAACTTTTACCTTTGTGTCATCTTAGTTTGGCGAGGGACTTGTATATTGATATGTGCGCTGGTCAAAGGGGTTGGCTGCTAAAGGAATGGCCAGCTGTTTGAGATTGTCAGCTGCTCCACAGGAGAGAAATGTG